GCAACAACAACAAATACAATGACATTTTTAATTGAAGTCTCTTTGTACACAAGAATGAGTTCTTTATTTTATTTCTCTCTTTATCCCCATACCAACTAGCATGGGAGCTGGCAAAAGTTAAATATCTAGTATATTATCACTATCAGTTTGCAAATGGGACATTTTAAATTCAGCAGTTTTCCTATAATGACAAATGCTATTAAGAGGAAGTCACTTCACTATTGGTCTAACATACTACTACTACTACTACTACTACTACTCATTACTAACTTCTAAGTATATAGGAAAGGCATAGTTACTCCTGACATCAGACAAAGACATTTCCAAGAGACAGTCACAGTAGGCAATCCAGTGAGACTGCTAAAGCATACTTGAAACACTAGCTGAAGTTATCAGATCCAAACTGTTGGTTAACGATGTCATCTGGTTCAAGATCATTCCCATCCTATCCAAATAACAAATAATGCACCGCTAAATGATCAAATCTAAGCTTTATATGGTCAGTATTGCTGCAAAGGCCTAAGAAAGCTGTTCAACAAGAGTATTCAATTTCAAAAAAACAGTCAACATAAGGGTGAAATATCAGAATTTAGTGAGGGGGATAGAAAATATCCACTGATATCTATGTCTTCTAAAAACTAAGAAAGCAGAGACAGAGAATAATATAGTGAAGAGGGTACAGGCAATATGGATCTCAGGGAAAGCAAATTTAACAAAATAAAAAATATGATCTAGCTGAAAATAGGTATGCAGTTGGTTATATATTCCATGCACCATTATTTCAGGTGCCTCCTAAATGTCCTAATTCTTTTCTTAGAAGTTTGCATAAAACTTTCATGTATAATCACCACATTAAACTCAACATTATGGTCATTTTTGCTTCTATTAGATTTCCTCAATGGAAGGTACAAAGCACAAAAAAAGGGCCATCATCGATCTTTAATCTTCATTTAATCATTTAACACACTGGGTGCTAGAAACCTGGCTTGGTACTGGAGATATAGGGGCGGGATCCTGCTTTTTCTTATATGGAACTTACGATCAAATTATCATAAAAGGGAATCTTATTGTGGGGGAGAGAGGTTTTGACTTAGACTGGTGGTGTAGAGGTTAAGGCACGTAGCTGCTTACCAGAAGGTCGGTGGTTCGAACCCACCAGCAGCTCCATGGAAGAAAGACTGGGCAGTCTGCTTCTGTAAAGACTTACAGCTTTGGAAACCCAATGGGGGTCGCTATGAGTTTAATTTGGTTTGGTTTTTGAATGCATGAGTATCTCGTAACCAAAGGGGAGAGGGTTGTCAAATGTCTCAAATAGAAAAAAAGAGAAAGGCAGTATGAGACCATAAGGCACAAATACAAATATTTCCAGATTCCTTGTTCAATATTCTAATGATTTAGTATAAATAACTGTCTGAATCACCTGGAATGTGTAAAA